TGATGGTGATGGTGATATGGTGATGGTGGTGGTGCTGATGATGGTGGTGGTGGTGATGATGATAGTGATGATGATGATGGTGGTGATGATGATGGTGATGGTGGTGGTAATGGTGGTGATGATGATGATGGTGGTGATGGTGATGATGGTGATGATGATGATGGTGATGATGGTGATGGTGATGATGATGGTGGTGGTGATGGTGATGATGGTGGTGATGATGGTGATGGTGATGGTGATGGTGGTGGTGGTGATGGTGATGATGGTGATGGTGGTGATCATGATAATGATGGTGGTGATGGTGGTGATGACAACAATAGTGATATTGTTTGTGATGATTATGGTGACTAAAGTGATGATGATGGTGATGGTGGTGGTGATGAAGGTGATGAGGATGAAAAGAAAGATGGTGATTTCACTAACATCATCATCATTCCTGTCCCCATAATCATCTCTATCATCTTCATCATCAGTGTCATCCTGTCACCACCATCATCAACATTATCATCGTCACCGTCATTGTGATGGTGATGGTAGTGATGACGATGGTGGTGATGAAGAAGGCAAAGGTATTGATGGTCAGAGACATGCTCAATGAGCGGTAGCGACAGTCCAGTGTGTTCTTATCCCATTTACTCCTGGCACCAGTCACAAAGGTAGACACGGTCATCACCACTGCGGAAGGGAGAGCCATCGGGGAAGCTGGTGCGACTTCCTCCCGTTCCGTGGGCTCTGCTGCTTCACGGCCGCACTGAGAGCAGAGGTATCCCTCCACCTTGACTCCCTTGCAGTTAGCCCCAGGGTCTGCTCCGCCTGGTGGGCTCCCTCCTCTTGCCTCCAGGTAGAGGCCGCTCCTCTCCCTTCCCGGAGCTTCTACCCCTCGGAGGCAAATGCACAGCCCCACCCCCTCCTGCGAGGGAGGCCCTTGAGGAGTGCTCTCTCCGGCCCGTGCTCGGGGTCTCTGAGCCGTTTTGTGTCAATTCCCACCACAAGAACTTGATCTTTCTTGGTCTAGAGCTGCCACGCTCCCGGCCAACACTGAACACGTGCAGAGCACGGAGCGAAGAGGGCAGGGTGAGCCCCAGGGAGCTGCAGGATGGACGGAGAGGCCGGCCCTCCAGAGGCACAGAGCAACCCCTGGGAGAAGGGCGTGCGTCCCACGTCGTCTAACATCTGCAGGGCCAGAGAGGGAACCTCGGTATCTTGACCTCTGGTTGCTAAGGGAGCTCTTCGTTGGGTAGAGTCTGGGGGGGGGGGCTGGAAGGCTCTGGAATTCTCAGAAAGACAGCGGGACCCTCAGTGTTTAAGTCCCTGCCATCTCCTGGGGTGAGCTGGGAAGGCATCGATGTTCCTCTTCTGAGGAATCAAAGAAACCGAGAGCGGGAGAGTGGAGCAGCTCGTGACCACTCGGAACAGAAGCCCAGCTCTTTGCCAGAGGCCCTTGTGCACCTGGGGGCCAAATCTTCATGCACAATACCTAGCGTAGGATCTCGCAGCGGCCGCTGAATGTCATGTTATTACACTTAGGACTGAGAAGTCCAAAAAGAACAGGGGAACAGGAGCAAAGACGATGGCTTGTTCTGGGGGCTTTTCCCCCGCCTTCCACGTGAATTCTCTCCCTTGCACTTCCCAAATTAAAATTTAGAGGAAGCAATGTGTGGTTAATGGCCGGAGGAGAGAGTCCGGACGACTAACGCGATGATGAACGGCTCTGCTTCTTGAGTGGATGCTTCTCTGCGCTGAGCTCCACGCAGTGGTGCCCCGGGCCCAGCCTCCTCCTGTGCTGCTGGGACCCGCCTGATTAACCAGGAGCCGAGGCCTGGAGAGGGAAGGGCACTTTCTCCTGGTCATCTGGCAGACCCAGGATGAAGGGCAGTTGCCTGCTCTGGAGTCACTGAGAAAATCAAATAGCTAAACCCCAGCCCAGCACATCGCAGCCAACCTTTGTCTGTAATTGGTATAGATAAAGTACACTCCTCATGTACTTTGCTTGCAAAAACCCCAGCTTTGTGTTTCTAAGCCTCACACCTGGGCTTTGACGGTCCTCGGTTCCTGCATAAAGAAGAACAGCTATGAGAAGAACCTACAGACCCTACCTCTGGTCAGGGAGGGGAGACAAAGACTGGGTTTTTTGGAAACATGATCCTAATAATATTGGCAGGAAGCAGTTTGGAATATGGAAAACCCTAAAGGATTCATCATCCCTTTCTCTCTCTGAAATGCTGGTTGCTGGTCAGAGAACTGAGCATGGTGTGAGAAGTTGTTTGTTGTCTGAATCATCTGTCCCATCATTTGGTCCTCTCTAAATGCCAGGAGCCACTTCCTTATTGGTGTTGAGTCCCTTACTTCTTCACGTGGATCCCGTAAAGGACCGGACAGTAAGTATTTCAGACTTTACAGGAAATAGGGTCTTTGTGTTAGTCAGCTTGGCAGTACTACAACCAAATACCCGAAGCAGCTAACTGTAGAAAGAGAAAAGGGGTTTTTTTAGCTCACAGTTTGGGTTGTTCTTGGTTTGGATCTTTGAAAGAGTTTGAAAGTTTAGTTGAAGCACCGCTGGGATTCAAATCCCCGATCTTCTGTTCTAGACCTTCTAAAGAAGGTGCCATCCCCTGGTTTAGATCTTAGGGTCTCATGCGGAGAAGGCTTAGTGCCCGGCTGTTGGTTCTATGGGGAGCTGGAGGGACCTTCAGAGGTGGAGACGGGGTGGAAGGAGATTAGTGGGCTGGGCTGTGCCCCCCGAAGGAGCGGTTGGGACCTCAGCTCACACTCTCTGTACCTCCAGCTGCCTCGAGGGGAGGAGGTGGCTCTGCCCACGCCCCTCACGTGACCTTGTGCCTCACCACCTTCCCACAGTGAGAGGGACAGGAAGCTGGGACGGAAACCTCCAAGACAGTGGCCAAAGTAAGGCTCCCCTCCTGTCACACGCCGGGTTCATCTCAGGCCCTTTCACAGAGGCGGAGAGCTGACCAGCCCAGAGGTCCCAGGTCATGGCCCCCGCCCGGGCTCAGGTCTGGGAGGCTGGGTCACATGGCAGATGGTGACGGGAGGTGCACACACGTGCTAGCCGATGGCTTTGGGAGCCAGGGCAGAGAGGCTAGGGCCCCATAGGCCCCATGTCCCCAGTGAACGCAGGACCTCCCATGGGCCACCTCTTAGAGGTTCAGGCCACCACCCTGGGGGGACCTCCACGAGTCACACACCACGCCCAGCCCAGCAGGCCGTCACAGCTACTCAGCTGTTGTCCTGGTGCCAAAGCAGGCCACCGACCATATGTCAGCCAATGGGTGTGGCTGTGTCCAGTAAAACTGTGTGAACAAGAGCAGACCCCAGCGTCAGACCCCAGTTCAGACGAAGAGCCCCATGGCCTTGCTTATAAATCAAATAGAACTACAAATCTGCTTTCCATGATCGATTAACACTGAGACTCAAATTGCCATCTTTTGGTTTGAAAGATTAGAACTTTCCTGGTCATCTCCACCTGGCCACTGTCTGCTGGGATTTCCACTGGCCGCTGTGAAGATGATTGCAAAGACAGCCTTTAACTTAGCGCCAGCCCACAGCGTGGGGCAGTGGCGGCCTCACCCCCCTGAGCTGGACCTGGTGAAGCAGCCTGAGAGCAGACGGCTTCGCATGACGGCCCCCCTGGGAGAACTCAGACAGACAGGATTCTTGATTTTGGACAACTCAGGCAGAAATGGGCCAGTCTAATCCCTTCACTGACCCTCAAGGTTTTCCATTTGCATTGAAAAGAGCTGCCTCTTGGAAAGGTGTCCCCTCGTGCATCCTTACCTGGGAGAGGACCCACCCCACTGACCCTCCACAGGACATTTCCGGCTCTGCACAGGCCTGTCCTCAGGAGGAAGTGCCCAGGGCTGCCCTTTCCCACGGCGTCTCTGTCCACACCTTGAACACTCTGGTGAGTCTCTGGAGGCCACTGGAGAACACAGGCAGGAACACCTGTCGACCAAGCCTCCTGACCCTGGCCAGGCAGCTCGGGAGCCATCTTCCTGCCAGCTGTCAGGAGGGCTGTGATGAGGCCGGCAGGGACGTCACCTAAAGGGCACCTGCTGGCCACAGTCCCAAGAGAGGAGAAGCACCCAGCTCTCCCTCTCCACTTCCAAGGTGGACACTGAATCCCATCCAGAAGCTCTTTGCCACGCAGACCTGCTCCTGGAGCCGGGAGCCCGCTGTGTGAGGGTCTCGCTCCCCTTCCTGACAGGTGTTATTGCTCCTGCTAATTTAGGGGCTCTTTCTGCTCCTGGTAATTGCCACTGTATACTAATGTGCTGGGAATCAGCTGCCATCCTGATAATGAAAAATTATACCCAGAATAATGGATGGGGACAGATGGATTACCGAGCTCTGCATCAATCAATAGGGCTTTTATGGTTATATTTGTGGTGGATTGTAATAAGATCAGGCCCCGAAGATTGATGTGGAAGTTCGTCATCCATCTCTGGGTCTGAATGAGGTCTTATTAAAAGGAGCCGGATCAAACCCGGGCCACCGTCCACTGCAAAAACAAAGCCACCGCGAGCTTTCCCTTCCAGCCCGTGAGGAGGTAGGTGGCACATTTGGCCGTCACGCTTGGGTGGAGGCGGGAGCAATGGCTCCGGGATTTGCCAAGGTAAATGGACGACAGTTCTGTGCTGCTGGCAGCTGATTTTACAACCCAGGGTCTCACTTGCCTGAGTGATGGGAACAAAGACCCCCAGCCACTCAGTGCAAGGCTCTCCATCTTGCAAGGTGGAGTTTGACAGGCGAGAGGTGACGCCGTGTACCCCAAAATGCCAATTTTGAAGTTTTCAAGGAAAATTAAGGCCACTGGCTTCTATGGCAGGAACACCAAAAAGTGTGCTGCTCTCTGAGTTACCTGGCGGAGGCTTCCAAGGGCTAAGTCTATTAGTCACAGTTCTCCAGAGAAGCCCAACAAGCAGGAGATACACAATATCATATTATGTCAAATATGCAGATTTATATTTAAAAGGAGATTTTCGGAGGGCACTGGCTCTTGGGGTTCCAGGAGCCAAGAAGTCCCCAATGTGCCACCGGCAAGCTAGAGAGCCAGGAAAGCCAGTGTGTGGTTTGGTCCCGTCACAAGAGCTAAGAAGGAGGCATCTGATGGTGTGAGGCCCAGGGCCAGGAGGAGAGTGGACACTGCTGTGAGTCCCAGAGTCTGAAGACCCGGGAACCAAGACCTTTGAAGTCCACAGGCAGGAGAATGTGGGCGTCCCAGCTCAGGCAGAGAACGTCCCTTCCTCCTCTGCCTGAGTCTTCAACTGACCCAACGATGCCCACCCGGCCTGGGGAGGGGGTCTGTGCTCAGTCCACTGGTCCAAGGGTCCATCTCTCCCAGAAATACTGTTTACAGTGATCTCAGAGTCCTTCAGCCCAGCCAAGTGGACTCACAGAACTGACCACAGAGGGTGACCCCAGCTAGGGGGTGCTTCAAGCCTGGACTAGCCTCCACTCCTCAGAGGTCCCTCCAGCTGAGGACAGGGTCCCTCCCAGGGAGGAGGCACTGCTGAGGGAAGGCTGTGCTGACGTCTCGTGGGGTGGTCTGTGTCACAACCGCCCAGCGAGAGGGGACCTTGGGGGACCACCCACCAAGAACCAGGGCCAGCTGGAGCCCTGGCCTCACTGGGGGCTCCTGAGGCCGTGCCTGGAGACACTTGGTATTCAGAACTGGGG